GAAGATGTCAGATCCCCTGGAGCTGGAGTGACAGATGCTTGTGAGGCACCGTGTAGGTGCTAGGAAGCAAACCTGTGTCCTCTGCAAGAGCAACAAGCACTCTTGACTGCTGAGCCACCGAGAGTTTGTCATTCAGCATTTTAATCACCAAAATCAGAAAAAAAATCTAGATTCCCAAATCAGTCAATAGATTTCTTCTCTCCACTGCTTCCTCTCAAATATGACATCTGGACATGATGGTGTCAGTCCTCCACAGGGGACAGGAAGGGTCCACCTATGAGGAACTCTGGGCTCCTACCGAGGAGTTACAGAGGAGATGGGAGAGGAGACCACAGAAAGGGCACCGCCTTTTCCATCCTGTTCCTGAGAGTAACTTGAGGAAGATTTATTTTGACCTGTGGTTTAAAGGGATACAGTCCACCATGGTGGGGAAGGCCTGGCAGCGGGGAGCTTCCTGACAGCACCAGGGCAGGGCTGGAACACCTCACCTGCTCACAGGTGGGACAGGAAGCAGAGACAGGAAGTGGGGCCCGTTATCAACCTCCAGGCCTGTTCCAGTGAGCCTCTTCCTCCTGTGAGGCTGCACTTTCTAAAGGTTCCACAACCTCTTAAAGCAAGCCTTCAGCTGGGAACGTGTGTCCCAGTATGAGAGCTTGTGGAGGATATCTCTCATTCAAACCGTATCTGTTACCGTCTCGCAGCAGACAAAGCACAATACAACCCACAAAGTGAAACCCCTTCTTTATTTTGGCAGAAAGGCAAACCCCTTCCTCTTAAGCACACAGTGAGCTCACACACCAAAGGTCCTAGCAGAGGGTCCTCTAGCAGGCCTTGCGTGCATTCGAGCAAGCTTGCCACCCAGCCATCTCCATCCTCTCCCACGTCTGTGTACCCATCCATGACCATGACATACGCTATGTATTTTCCCCATGCGTCTCCCGCTCTGCAATGGAAGCACCACCACTCAGGGATGTGTATTTTGTTTGCTGTCTTACGTCTACAGAGCCTGGCTGAATGCTGGTGTTTTCAGTATGATGATACCGAGCTAAGACAGGGTAGGGAATGAGAAATTATCTCAGGGAGCAGAAGTAAGGAAATGAGGCAAGTGAAGACCAGGAGAAGCTAATTAGAAATGTTACTGGGGTCACTGCTGCAGCAAAGGACCTTTGAGAAGTTTCCAGAATGTTCATGGAGACCTGGGTTTTCTATACTTACTGGCTTATGTTAGCCCTCTAGGGAGCAACATCCTCACTTACAGGCTTGGGGCTTTGGGGAAGAGAAGTGGAGCTGGGAAGAGGGTCAAAAGCCTGAGTGGGAGGGAAGCATAAAGCATCTACTTCAGGAGGTATTAATACAAAGAAGAGAAATGCAAGCCTTGGGCTCTCTTGCTGAAGGACAACAATAAGAATTACTATGGTGGTATTTTATTTGTACTGAAATGTGATTTTAATTGTATGTTAATAAATAAAGTTGCCCGGGGGTCAGAGCTATTAAAGCCAAAGCAAGAGCGTGGCGGTGGTGGCACACGCTTTTAATCCCAGTGCTTGGTAGACAGAGCTAGATAGATCTCTGTGTGTTCAGGGATACAGCCAGCATTGGAGACACACGCCTTTAAGACCTGGAGGGCTGTACATACAGGCAGTGACGAGGCAGTCACGGGTTTGGGTTTACAACCAATGAGAAGGCAGAACAGAAAGACTATGTAAAGACATACACACAGGAAGTAGGTCTCTTTTGGAGAGCTAGGAGCACTGCAGAAAGGGTAAGATTTTAGCTCTGAGCTCTGACCTCTCGGCTTTCTCTTTTACATTGGTTCTGTGTTTCTTATTTAATAAGACGATTGGTTACATCTACATCTGGCACCCAATGTGACAAGAATCCATTAAAAACTGCTTGGCTTGGCAGCAGGTCCGGTTTCCCGCAAGGGCAGTCGGCTCCCTAGCCTGGGCAGTCGGCTCCCTAGTCTAAGTGGTCGGTTCCCTAGCCCGGGCCCAGGTCTGCTTGGCCTCAGGCCAGACTAACCTTGAGCTGCTTGCTTAAAGCTGGTGCTACAAACAACTCAGGCCTGCCCTGCCGAACAGGGCCCTGCCTGTAAAGCCAATGCATGTGGTCGGAGCTTAAGGAACCCAGAGCCAAGCCTTGACTCGGCTCAAGAGGGAACATGTGGTTGGATTTAAGCTTTAGCCGGCTATGCTTTCTCTCTCTCTCTCTCTCTCTCTCTCTCTCTCTCTCTCTCTCTCTCTCTCTCTGGATTCACACCTCGGACACTAGGTGGCTGTTTGAAATTTCCTCGGATTTCTACTATTCTACACAGATTTGGTAAGTTATAACATATCAGATATTTTAAAGGAAACTATTTAAAAGAGAAATTTTTTCTACATTAAAAATGGGTTTTATGTGTACATTGGAAGAAAATTGGGTTTTGTTTGAAATTTTAGGCAGTCTGACAATGGAACAACTATATGAGAAGATTAGTATTGTTGGAATTATGCAGTTTATCACTATGCTTATCCTCATTTTACTATTTAAAAAGATAGTCAATTTAAGTACCAGGATGACAGCTTTAGAAAAACTTGTTAAACCTGTAAAAATTCAGACAGAAGAAA